ACTCACTCACTCACTCTCACTCACTGACTCATTCACTCACTCACTCTTTCACTCCCTCCCTCACTCACTCACTCTCATTCACTGACTCACTTTCTCACTCACTCACTCTCACTCATTCACTCACTCTCTTTCTTACTCACTCACTCACTGACTCACTCTCTCATTCACTCTCATACTCTCACTCACTCACTCTCTCATTCACTCTCTCACTCACTCTCATTCACTCTCTCACTCACTCACTCTCTCACTCACTCACTCTCTCACTCATTCTCATTCACTCACTCACTCACTCACTCTCTCTCATTCCCTGACTCACTCTCTTACTCACTCTCACTGACTCACTCACTCTCTCACTCACTCTCATTCACTGACTCACTCACTCTCTCTTACTCACTAACTCACTGACTCACTCTCTCTCACTCTAATTCACTCACTCTCATTCACTCACTTACTCACTCTCATTCACTGACTCACTGACTCACTGACTCACTCTCACTCACTCACTCTCGTACTCACTCTCATTCACTCACTCACTCACTCTCTCACTCACTCACTCACTCTCTCACTCAGTCAGTCTCTCAGTCTCTCGCTCACTCACTGACTCACTCACTAACTCACTCACTCTCTCTCTCATTCACTCACACTCTCTCACTCACACACACACACAAAAAAAAACCCCCTAAGCAAAGTAGAAAAGTGTATGCAGACCTAGAAGCCAACGTTGAAAGTGTTCCGTAGAACAGCAAGTAGTCGGTGTGGCTGGACCAGAGAGAGGGTGAGAGCAGAATGGAGGAAAATAAAGAAGAATGCAGAGCCAAGAGATGAGATTCCTGCTTTATAAGAGCGATAGGGACCTACTGAAGGAGGAAAGCAAGAGACATACTGCCATCTGTTTGGGAAGGAGAAAGCAAATTAAAGCAAGGCAAACTCAGAGGAACAGGAAACCGTCTGAGGCAGCTCTGACCCAATGAGGTAGATCAGAAGTAAAAGCAAGCGCTCCCTTGCTCATCCATTCCAAGTAATACTTTTCAATGATGGGCCTGGACAGACTCTGGGCACAAAAAGGGTTATTCTTGACCCTCATGGGACGGAATTTCAGTCTTTTGCTGATGGAAAGACTTATTAATTAGGTAGAAATGACAAAATATGGTGACTATTGACATATGGGAAGGAAAGGAAAGGGTGAATCAGGGAGGCTGTCTGACCTCTGCTTTGGGAATAACGTGGACGAAGGAGCCATACGCTGAGATGGGACTATTCCGGGTAGAACAGGTTCAGCTGGGTGTAGATGATGAGTTCCATTTGGCACATTCAAGACACTGTCCTCCTTAGATCAGGAGGTACCTATGAGACATGGACAAAGGCCCCTGAATAGACCAGCTGGGAATGAAGAGATGGGTCTAAACAAGGACTAACCCTGAGTTATTCTTCTACTATGAATATATAAGGACGCTTCAAAAACTTCATGGGAAAAAATGGTATTAAAACATAATGGAAACTTTCCACCACAAACTTCTCGAAGCTCTCTCATTGTACAAATGCTTGTATCAAAAGGCAATTTCTATTCTTACTCTAACAAGTATTTACTTGGTACCTAGTATTTGAGGACATCACAGAACAAATTCATCCGCAATGAGCTTACATTGCAGCAACCCCTGCCAGAAATCTGTAGCCTCACAAATATCCAATAAGCATGTCTAGCCACAGGCTCGCAGAGGTTGTCCCTACTCTGCGTCACCCTAACGCCATGCCCTACTTTGGGGCGGTGAATCAATGGCATTGGACCTACAGCTCCAGGAGGGGCATTTTCCTGACCACCATACAGAAACAAGGGCCCCTGGATTCCGATTCCTAGTCCTTTCCATCTTTATATCCTGGGGCTGGATATGATGCTACCTATTCAACATGGGTGGCGCCACACCAACCTCCCAGGAGGCTTCATTACTAAAACATGTATATTGACTTAACGGTGCTCATGCGTAAAAGTAGTTATCTTGGAAAAGTTTTTAATTAAATAATATTAAAACCCTTTCTCATGTTTTCCTTTTTACGGAAGCATTAATATAAAGTTTCAGAAACTGCGCATGTTACCCTCACGTATTTACTCATAGACGCTGTAATTTGCAAAGCACTCAACATACTTTTTCTCCTGGGAAACGGAGGCTGCTTCCAGACAATGCCAAACCCACTGCCATCCAGTCAATTCCAACTCACAGAGACCCTACAGGCCACTGGTGGTATGGCGATGACACCGTTCCAAGAGGCATGAGATGTAAAAGACAAATAAACTGACGACTATTTAAAAAGAAAATAAACCGCCCACAAATCAAAGAAAAGCCCAATGTGGAGTTGATTCTTGAGCCACGAAATGGCCAGAACACTCACCTCTCACCATTAGGCCCCACTCTGTTGATTAATTTTTCCATGGCTTCCTCTGTCTCCTTCAGCTTTTCTTGCAGTTGAGCAAGCTCAAAATTGGCTGAAAAACAAGCATCAAAGTCCCAACACAGACAATACCTTAGGCCCTTTTCTGACCCGAGCTAGCTGTGACAGTCTAAAATAACCTAGGCTGGTTCTGAGACCCAGAACAGACACTTCAGTTTCTTCAGCTAACCCAATCAAGACCCAACGGGTCCTGAGGTCTGGACACAGATGCGTGAGATCAAATCACTTTTCTTACACACAGAGATCCAGCCGGAGCAGCCAAAGACAATCTCTAGGGGTGAAAGCACACACACCCTGCAGAGTTACCCAAGAAGGGCGAGGCAGCACATCTAGAAGCAGTGTTTCACCAGCACCTAAGGTTCAAAGGCATCTGGCAGGTAATCGTTTAAATGCCAAGCTTCTTTGATAACGAACATCTTGAACTGGGGCCAAGACTGCCTGCCCCAAACTCTTCCCTCCTCACGTCATGTTGGGTGAAGAGTTGGTGTCCTTAACAGGGGTCAGTATGGTGCATCCCTATCGATCGGGACGACAGTAAGAAGCTAAATGGTGAACAACACAACTCAGTACATGAAATGAACTTTTAAGGTTGTGGGAAAATAAAATGTTCGTTATGTAGATCATTTAGTTTAAAGTTTTTATGCCTGAGTAACCTTTTACTTAAGTATATTTAGAGGGCCATTGCTAAATGTAATATTTTAAAGTCCCTTTAACACTTGTAGAACACAAGTGAGCACTTCTAAGTGCAGGGAGGGTCGTGCCACATGTATACTCAGGCTAGTTTACGTTGAGACACAATTACAAGTTGAAGGCTATGAAGCTGAGAAAGCTATTCCCATTATTATAAAACAGCTGCTCTTGGAATTAATTTGATTTATTTTGTGCTGTTTTAATTGTGTTATATGACAGGATACAGAAACTGCTACTCTTTAGAGTCCGCAACACTTTAAAAAATGATTTTACTGATGCATTTATTATTACTGTTGGTTAGACCGCGCATCAGTTCAGTACTTACTAGCTTCCTTAAAGGACTCCTTGGATATTTAAGATTTCCAAAAAGGATGCAGAATATGATTGGGCTACATTTACAAAGGTGCTTTAAAATGTTCAAGGAAAAATGGAATCAAAGGACCATGGATTTTTTTTCCATGAACTTTTTGAAAACCCTTCATATTTCCAGAGGATCCAGGAAGAAGTCCAAAACACAGTAATGGCCTGAGGTCAAGGCTTTGATGGCTCAGTCACACTTCATTTTGACGATGCCTTCCTTTTACAGACTTCTCATGTGGCTTTGTTCCACAGGGTGGTCTTACCGCGAAGGGGGTCTTTCCCACACTGCCACACATGAACACTGTTCAGATTTGCCATGAGCTCAAGGTCTCCTGCTTGTCTGCGCGTGTCCTGTCTCCACGATGGGCCCCACTCCACCGCACTTCTGGTAGACCTGATTTCTCAAACTGCTTCTGCCAAGTCCTTCTTGATAGGTGGTTAACTTTTCCCAAGTTATTATTCCTGAAATTCATTCTAGACTCTAACTACTTACTGGAAAGAATCATGCCTTACACATGCTCATTTGCCCAGGAAGAATATTTTAGGGGTCAATAACTATTTGATAACTTTGTCCCAAGAGTCAAAAGTGTTAAACTCTGTCCCTAAATCTAAAAACTGCCTTGGGCAAGAAATAGATTTCTCTGCCTCAGTTTTCCTCCTTGTTTTCTTCCTACTTTTAAGGACTCTCTTTCCCTGATGGAAAATTTGGGGAATCCCCAGAGTTAAGGAAACATGCGGCAGATGAATTTGGAGTACTTTTGGAGAAATGCTTTTATGCTATCCCCAAAGTTGTCCCTCTTACTGTACCATCACTGTCTTACTCAGTTACACTCGTGACTATCCTGAGAAGGGGCACTTACTAATCTTCCGGTGGGTGTTTCCAGGTATGGCAGTGGAGCGTTTCTGATCATCTGCGGTCGCTTTCCCCCTTGAGAGCTGAGGATTGAAGGAGGCACAGCAATCAGCAGCAGCTCAGAACCTCAAAGCCAGGGAACCCCTCATAATAAATGGGGGGGAAGTGAAAAGGTTGGGAGACAAAACTGTAGCCAGAAATCAAGCAAAATGCAACATTAGAAAACAATTCCTTTTTTAAAAAGCCATCAAAATGTGAGATGGTTTCCAAGTAAACAACTATCTTGACATGTGAAAAGTATTTCCCTTCACGTCACCTGTCGTGTCCACGCTCAGCTAGAAGGAGAGAGGCAGCTCTGGGTGATTTCCTGTGATTTCAACACAGGCCATATGCTGAATTCCCAGACAATAAGGAACATGCTTCTTACAGTAGACGGGGACAACGTGTCTACTGTCTACGTGTGCTGCTGTCTCTGCCTCAGGATGCATTAGGCCTCTGGCCGGCAAAAGCCTATGTGCAAGTGGAATTTAACTGGGGATCTGCTTTTAAAGGATCCAAATCATGTCTCCCTAGAGCTGGGCTCCATCAGGCTTAGATGCAGGTTATGACAGCTCTTCCTCAGAAGGATTGCTGGATATGATGTTAAAACCCTCATAGCCCTGAAGTTGATGGGACAAAGTGGTGTTGATAGTCATGGTCTGGAATCACGGTGGCTACTTGGAAGTCACTCTGACAATCCTAATAATAACACTGCTCTTGCACCATCTTTATGCCTTTTGAGCTGGCAAAGATGCTCGATCAAACGTGTTTTACTTGTCTTTAAACTAGAACACTCACTTGGTTCAGATCCAGAAAACCCAGGGTTCAGGTCCTGATTCTACTTTTTCCATTGCTCAATTCTGGGTAAATCACTGAAACGTTCAGGGAATATTTTCTCGTCTGCAAACCTGAGATAATAGCTGTCTATGCTAAGTACCTCACAAGGGTTTAAAGAGATGATGAATTTGAAAGAGATGAGCTGTAAAGGGTTTTAATGCAGATAAGAGTTTATTTTTTATGATATCGATTTTCACTGATAAAAAGATCAAGATGACGCCACTTACCTTAAATAGAATGTATAGTATATACAAGAAAATTCCAAAGCCATAGATTGGAATAATCTGCCCTATTAGGCCTCTTCCACTCCCTCCTCCTCCAGTGCCCCCACCTGCTCCTTTGGCCTTTGCAAATGCTTCTGCAAGGTGAGACCTCTGGAATCGAGTCCCAGGAGTTTGGCCATCAGAAGGGGTCTGGTGATGATGCATCGTGGGTGGAAATCGGCTCAGTTTTCCTGAGAAAATAATTTAATCTGGCTTTACTTTTTCTACTATTGTAAATATAATTATTATGAAAATACTGTATGCATTATGGGACAAATGACAGAAGCCAACTCAAGACAAGTTTAAGAAAATCCAGGAATCTGAGTAAGTAAAGCAATATCAAACAGATGCTAAAGGTGATGTTGCAGTTTCTAACTGATCACAAAGCTCATTTCTCTTCCTTTTGGGTCCACAGCTAGACTGTATTTCACAACATCTGATACAGTTGAATGTGGCCATGTGATTAAGTTCCAGCCACAGGAACATGAATAATGTGCGCTAAGCCTGGCTTATAAAAACCTCCCATGTATTAAACTCCATGTTCATGGCCCTTCTGCAGGCTGAATGTTGACACCCAGCGAGAAGCCATGTGTGAAAAATGGCACAGCCTCTCTCAGGCTGGGTTTCTGAAGAACAATGTGGCACAGAGCCCTCCACTATTGCCACCCCATCAACTCGGAACCATCTGGAAGTGGGTTGTCTGTGGGGTGAAAAGTGAACTTGCGTGAGGGCCAGAGTACAGGCTGCAGTCTAAGTGTACCAGCAAGTAGCCACCTCGAACTAACAGAGCTAAGGAAACACAATCTGGTCTCAGGAGAGAATACAGCCAGAAGCTGGAAAGTCATCAGAAACCAGGACGGCTACTCTCCCATTCTCCCAATCTCACTCACCCTCTCAGTGGGGCCATCAAGTAATTGGTTTTTGCCCTCTTCTTTCTATGTCTTTGTGCACATTTCCTTCAGACTCCAAATCCACTGCCCTTGATCAAGTCTGAGTCAGTGATGCTATACAATGTTCCGCGGCTGGAAATCTTTACTGGAGCATACAGTCTTATCTCTCCTGCACAGTGGTTAGCAAACTTGAATTCCCCTCTTGTGGCTAGCAGAACAGTCTTTACCGACAGCACCACCAGGGCTCCCTCTAAACACCTTCGATTTGCAGTCCTTTAAGAGACCAGCAAAGACTGATACATCCCTCTCAATCCTGATTCCAAATTCCTGGGGGGGCTTTGTGTACACCCTGGTGGTATAGTGGGCAGTTCAAAGTCAGCAGTTCAAAGCCACCGGCCACTTCAAGAGAGAATGATGAGAATTTCTACTCCCGTAAAGATTTACAGTCTTGGAATTCCAATGAGGCAGGTCTACCGTCATTTACTGGGTCACTGTGAGCCAGAATGGACTGGGAGTGAGTTTGGTTTGGCTTTAGTTTAGCTATGCTTTCCCAATCAGCTATAACTAAGCGGACAAGACCCATTAGTGCACACGTGATCACAGGGACCCAAACAGTATGAGTGAAAGAGCCGAGCTTAGAGAAGGGGAGTTGTTCATCAATATTTGTGCATTTTTCCTCTAATGAGAGCAGTAAACATTAATACCAACTGCCAAGCCTCCAGAGACCTATAATTGCGGGATAAAGGAAAGACACATTTTCACAGGGCCAGGTAAACACACTTGCATCATAAAACCACTGAAGGGTAACGCTACAGAGCAGGGGACACTAAAGAGCAGAAAGACTTCAAAAATAAGACTCTTAACTCTACAAACTATAAAGTGAAAATTACTGAATTTGAGTTCAGCAAGATTATGAATTTCTGTTCAGAAAAGAACACCATGAATAGAGTTAAGATAAATGACCAATGTGGAAAAAGATTTGCAACAACTAAACCTGACAAGGAAGTCAATATCTAGAATATATAAGGAATTCTTATAATTCAATATGAACATCACAGGAAATTCAATAGAAACAAGGGCCAAGAGATATGAGTAGGGAACTCACAGAAGGGAAGCCTAAGTAGCTAACAAGTATACGAGTTTAAAGAGATGATCGAATTTAGCGGAATAAAATAGAGATTAAAACAGTGGGATACCACTAGTACCCATCAGAAGGGTCCTAATGTTTATTTAAATCGTGTTAGCAAGGACATTGGGAGGTAAGAGCTCTTATGTTTTGTGATTACGCTGTCACCATTCTGCTAAGTAACATGACTGTACTTACATGTCCCTAAGACCCAGTGATCGCATTCTGGATAAATCTCAGATAAAGTCTCAAATAAGGCTGTATATCTTATGTACAGTCTTTACAGATCTCTGTGAAAATGTTAGCTATAGTAATGTAGCAGGGATCTTGAAAAACTTCAATTTACATTACTGGAAGAGTAGAAAAGCTAAACAGAGTCAAGACAAATATGCAATTCTATGTTGTGTTTAGATCTCATACTTCAGATATGCTTCCCCAAAAGCCCCAAACCCATAGCCAGTGGGTCTATTCTTACGTATAACAACCCTAGACAGAGTTCCCCAGACTTAAATCTTTATGGGAACAGATAGCCTCAACTTACTCCTCTGGAGGATTTGACCCACAGACCTTTGCGTTAGTAGTCCAGCACTAGCACAATAGCGCCATCAGACAGCATGACTATCTTAAAAACTCTGCCACAAGTAAGAAATTAAGCAAGCCTGATTATGCACTCTTAAGATGTACATAACTATGCTACATATTTTCCAAGAAAAAATGTGAGTGGTGTGGTTGTGTGCTGTGCAGTTGATTCCAACTCTGAGTGACCCTCTAAGGCAGAGTAAAAGTGCCCTTTTGGGTTTCTGGGGCTGTAAATCTTTATGGGAGCAAAAAGCTTCATTTTTCTCCTATGAAGTGGCTGGTGACTTCAAACTGTTGCCCTTACAGTTAGCAACCCAACACATAGCCCACTACACCACTCGGTTGTATAAACACGTTAGAGCAGGTAAGGGAATGGACATGTGGATTTGAGATAAAGTGTAACAGATAAGAAAATAAAAAAGGAAACTTAAGCCAGGCTATCAGAAAGAAATGGTGTCCAGGGTCATAAAAGCTTGTCTTACAACATGCAGTCATTTAAATGAGGCTTCATCTAAGTCCACACAGAAGCACACGAGCCTGTGATTGGAGGATTGTAAATAATAAAATCCAAATCTGGAGGAGGAAGCAGGCACCACTGGATTTCTTCACATTTGCTATAGCACCCATATCGTCAATAATCTCTTCATGAGGGTAAGTACTGAACAGGGCCATGTCATGATAACTAATTGTTCTTATATCAGGGAATAGCTAAGTGAGATCTTAAAATCCATGGCTATATCTTTGGTTTATATATGTCCCTGGTTCACTTCAGAGACATCATAATTTTATTTAAAGTACATCATAAATCATCCCCATGGGGCATTCTATCAATAGTATTATTCTGTAGCCAATGTAATGGCTAATACAAAAAAACCCTATGTGTTTCCAAGACTGTAAATCTTTACTGGAGTAGAAAGTCTCATCTTTCTCCCTTGGAGTGATTGGTGGTTTCAAACTGCTGACCTTGTGGTTATCGGCTCAACTCGTAACTCACTATGCCATCGGGGCTCCTTCAGCCAAGCTACACTCTATTAATCTTTCTTTCCCTCCCAATATTGACTACGGATGACATGTAAATCACAGAAATGATCAAATGCTTCTTAAGAGCAAGTCTGCAACGGAAGCACAGGCTCAGAGGAGGAGTTAACAGGTCACTTACTGCCCCTTATTCTGGTCAGGGCATTGAACAAGTTCATTCCAGTTTGACCTCCTGCTGCAGCATATTTGCATTTCTACACCAGATATAGTGGATCAGAATCTACAGTTTAACAAGATCCTCAGGCGATTCTTAGAGATCTCCAAGTTATGTAGATTCTTATCCAGTATATCTGGGGTGGAAATACAAATTCTTAGCAGGGGGTCAAAATGTACCGGTTTGGGTTGCTTAGAAGGCTAGGTGGGTAAGCTTTAGTCTGCTAACCACGAGAGCTCCAAACCCACCAGCTTGGGGAAAAGATGAGGCTGTCTGCTCTTGTAAAGATATACAGTGAACCCTCGCCACTTCGCGCTTCGACTTCCGCAGCTTCACTCTATCGCGGTTTTTGCGTAACAGCACCCACTGCCTACACCCGCTCCTTCAGAGGAAAAAGACGGCGACCCACCTGTAGAATACATCCCTTAAGTCATTTCATAGGCTATTGATTACAGTATTTGTAAGAACTATGTATAATAATACTGTATGTGAAATATGTAATACTGTAAACTAGATGCCATAAATAATATAATAAATAATAAATGATAATTGTAACATCCAAAATGTTTTACTGTATTTTCCCTTTTTCGTTTAATAAATTGGGTAATACGAGTGTAAAGGTGACTAAAGGGTGTTTTTTCATGTTCTCTATGCTCTAACTACGAAAATATTTGATTTACAAATAAGGAATCCTACTTCGCGGAATTTCATTTATCACGGTAGGGTCTAGAACCGATTAACCGCGATAAACGAGGGTTCACTGTATAGGGTCATAGAATCACCAAGAGTCAGAATCAATTCAATGGCCATGGTTTGTTTTGGTATGTCTCTTTAAAATTGTCTAGGTCTTAACTAGCCAACATCCAGGAAGTTATCTTTTGTCTCAAGAGAATTGAACTATCAGGTAGCTAGTATTTCATAAAGTAGCTTTAATATTTGTAGCAATACATGGAGGCTTCAAAATGTTGTAGAAAGATTCCAGTATCTTTTAATTCAATTTTCCGCAAACCTTTGACGCTCTCTCATATATTGTTGAAGTTCATTTTACTGTATTGAAAACAAAACCTTCAAGATCTGGCATAAAACAAAAATAACCATAATGAAGAATTAAAACCAGATAATGACATAAAAGGCATTATTTTGCACTTATAAAATTGAAAAATGATGATGGCACGAATTACTAGATATATCTTCCCCACAAACATTTACAGAATTTGTCAGTCGGGAACATTTATTGGATACCTATTATAATCAGGACCCTGTAGCATTGTAATGCTGTAACTGGAAAAGAAGGAAAGCCCAAACCAACAATAGTTCCCACATGGAACCATGCTTTTCAGAAGCAGGACACACACACACACACACACACACACACACACACACACACACAGAAAAGCAACAGTT